AAAAAAAAAAAAATCAAAACAAGTAAGGTAGCTAAGTATGTAAGAACAAAAGTATTAACAGAAAATATAAGATAATCATGCATCTATAGAGTATAAGACATTATATATCTTTGTATGTATCACAATTATCCTAATATAGCAGCTAAAACTTTTTAGTGCTTATGATATATACCGTCCTAAGCCCTTCAAATCATTCAGGCTTAACCCTCATGGCAGCCCCATGCGGTTGGTTCTGTTTCTCCCTGCCTCACAGTGCGGGGACCAGACACAGACGGGCCACGCCCCCTGCCCAGGGTCACAGCAGCAGGCGGACGGCTGAGCTGTCCTCTGACTCCGGGATCCCTCTGACTTGTCATGCAAAGGTGAGTCTTTGCTATGAAAATCATCTTCTTTTTAGAAATACACACACTCCTTCTATCTTCCTCTCGAGACCTGGCCTCTCTCCTCATTCTCCTTACGCACGCCTGTCCTAAGGTTAAAATTACTTGGAATACGCCCGTGTTTACGGGCCCGCCACAGCTCACGGTGGAGCACAGACTGAGCTCGCAACGACAGCCTCGCAGGGACCCAACCGACCTCACAGCGCAGAGGAACCTTTCAGTCCAGATGGCTCACAGGACTCCACTGACCTCCGGGCAGTCGCTGAGCCGCTCACGGCCCTCCGGTCAAAGCGTGCCGTCCGTCTGCAGCCAGCATGGGGCCGCGGCAGCGTCTCGCGCTCGGGGTGTTTATTCAGAGGCCAAGAGCAGTGCCCTGCATCCGCACTCCCTTCCCCAGGAACGGTTCAGGACGAAAGGAAGGTGTTTTGTTTGTTTTACTTTTTGATGGAAGATTTACTGGATTCTTTTAAAATACTTTCTAGAGAACCAAGCATTTCAGCAAGCTACTTTTATTTAGACTGTGACGATTTTACACAGTAGTGAGTATACAGAATATAATGTGAAATTCACACTTGCTTTTGTTTTCCCTTCAGTAAGTATAGCCTGGCATTCTTCAATGGCATGATTTTACAGATGAAGAAACTACGGTAAAGTGACTTGTCCCAAGTCACGCGGCCATCTGATGGCTGACCCGACGCCATGCCCACCTCACCCATCTGTCAGCACCCAGACAACCTGCTCGAAAATGGATTTTGCAAACACTGCTTGAACAGTGTGCTGGGAATTAACAAGCTAAGTAGACTGACTGGTTTTTTTCATGTAAATCTATTTTTTGCTTATTATTGCTGTACTAAAAACGTCAAACAGAAGTAAACTGATCATTGCACATTGCGCTGGGCCTCCACTTTGACCAGTGAGCTGAGGGCTGCGTGTGCAGTGAGCCGGCTGTGCCTCTGGCTGCCCTGGGCACGGCTCACATCCCACCCAGTGGAAAACGCAGGGCTGCTCCTGCCCACACGGCGAGGACACTGACGCCACTGCAAAGGCACCACCGCCCCAGGGCCAGGCGCGGGGCCACTCTCCGCAGTCACCAGTTTCCTGACACCGTCACCAACTTCCTAACCCTGCGGGGGAGAAAGCCGAGCGATTGGGCGGCCCCCACGCCTGGACAGGCGCGGCGAGGCGCGGCATCGGTCCCAGTGCACCTCGCGACGTCATCCTTCAGGCTGAGTGCGGGGCCTGAGAACAGTGCTCATTATCAAGAGTTAAAACCCTGAAATATTCAAATTTTCTGATCTGTAGATAATCAGAACTATAATACAACAGCACTTTTCATTACAAAATAATCCCTGAATTTTGTAGAAATGATAGCTCTAAAAGCAATCAAATTCACTCACTCGGGATGCACCTCCTGAGCTACGTTCGGTGGGGCCTGTCCCAGGCACGGCTGCTGCGGAAGACGAGTTTCCCGCGTGCCTGGAGCCCACTGGCCAGCAGGAGACAAGGACCCGTGGGGGGCCGTGGGGGAGGGGCCAGCAGGATGAGCTACAGGTGGAGGGAGTGGCCAGGCCCAGGCAGGATGGAACAGGCACCCCACACTGCCGAATGTCACCTGTGAGGCCCATGTGCTAAGACACTGCAAGGGGCCACCGGGGGGGAGGCTCATCAGGTGTGCAGGGGAAAGGCCTGGGCTAGGCCCTACGGTGCCATCACAGTGTCTACAGCCATGGGACTGGGTACGGTCCCCAAGAAATCTTGTCCAACGGACAAGACCCTGCCCTAGGGCACTGTGACTATTTGAGGTCGGGCAGCAGATGGAAGGAACCACCAAGGGAGACCGGGCCCCAGAGGGTAGAGTCCGCGGGAGCAGTGAGAGACTGAGGGAGGGTGGGGACAGGGAAGCAGACGGGAGAGGAGAGGGGCAGGACGCTGCTCTAGGGACAGGACGCTGCTCTAAGGGCAGGAGTGGGAGGGGAACCGACCGGGGTCCCTTGCATCTGGGAACACGAGGCCATCTCCTTGGCACAGCAGTTTCAAGAGCAACACAGGTGGAGGTGGCTCTTTTTTTTTTTAACCTACCAAAGTTGTATGTTTGGGGCTTTCTACTCAGAAGATACCAAGGAACCCACACAACAGCCAGAATGGACGTAAGTCACATCATGTCCCTCCTCTGCTCAAACCCCAAAAGAGCATCTCATCTCATTCAGAAAAAATCCCCAGGTCCTTACCAGGGCTGCCCAAGGCCCCACGGTCCCCCTCGGCCCCCGGCTCTGGCCACGCCCTTCCACCGCGCTCCTGCCTGGGTCTCCTCTCCGGCAGCTCCCGCCCTGGCCCCTCCCACCGCAGGCCCCAGCCCTGGCCTGGTTTCTGAGAGGGGCCCTGTCACACCCCGGCCACTCCCCGCCCCGTTTCCCAGCGCTACTGTGCTTCCTGGCCTTTAGGACCCAGCACCGTTGTATTTGTTTACTGGCTCATCGAAAACGTTATTTTCAACGAGAGCAGGAATTTTATTTTGTGCTATATCCCGAGTCTGGTGAGGTGTCTGGCACACAGTGGAAGCAAAACACCTGTTGAATTAATAATGTCACCAATGAATCATCAGACCAGAAACGTCAGGAGCTGCTTGGAAGAGAACAGGAAATACACCTGAGTGTGGCCCGTGGTGGTGACACCCAGCTTGAAACACAGTTATTTCAAAACCCTGTGCGTTTCTGTGTCGGCAAGCGCACCCGACACACTGCACGCTGCTAGTTCAGGACCTCCCCGACACAAGTGAACTCACAGCATTCGCAGGTTGTGAAAATGGAGATCGTCCTGGTCCAGCCACGGCCCTTTGTCGTACTTGAGATATTCAATATCCTCCACCACCTACGATAGAGAAAAGTTCCAATTTAAATAGAGAACCTCGTTTTAGAAATTTAAGTGAGGTAACATTTTAGTACATTCACATTACTATAATATGCCACAAATATTTGCAGGAAGAATCACACCACGAAAGTCGAAAGGCCCACTGAGGCGGACGACCTGCAAGGAAGCAGGGACCCGAGAGTTGCTCCTCCGCTGCAGCCTTGCCTCGCTAACTCCCGGCCACGGGCGAGACAGAAACGACCCTGCAGGCCGGGAGAGCAAGGCGGATGCCAAAAAGAATCAAGGCTAGAGGGGAAAGCCAGTGTTCATGGCAGAATACTCACTGCTTCCCAAGCAGCTTCGCTCCGGAAGGCAAGACCTAGCCTCGCAAAGCGACAAAGGCACAAGAACGTAAACACATTTCCTAGAGAGACCCATAACCCAAGTCTCCCAGCCCACAGCCCACTGTCTACACAGCCCAGACTTCCAGAGCGGTGGCCTCTCCATATGCATTCTCTCCGCAAAACATGCTAAACCCGGGGACTCTTTAGTTTCAAGAATTTGAGTATATTCTATAATGAACTCAAATAACACAGTGTTAGAGACAAAATACACTTTTCTTCTAAGATACAGGCCATCTAGACACTCTATCAAAGGTATAAAAATAATCTAAAAACAAGCAAATGAGCATCCCAGAAACAGAAGGCTGGAAGAAAACAAATGTAATTTAATCAGTCCAAGTAGAAGGAAGCAAGGTCTCCAGAGAACTCTTACAGCTGGCAGCAGCAGAGCGGGACCAGAAGGCAGCGTTTCCACCTGAAAGGAGAATGCTGTTCTCTTGTTAAAAAAAGAAACACAGGTAACCTCTCTCATCCTCCCCACTGAGCACGGGAAGTGTGTTTGTTACAAAGTGGGCAACTCTGAGAAGCTGCCTCTGCTACGAGGGCACGGCCTGCACCTCAATGCCAGATCCTAAAACTTGAGCTTCTTCTAGAATTGTTATGCCTTGTTGTTTTCTTTTAGTAGTTTATGCTTAATATATAAAATAAAATTTAAAAATTTGTTCATTAACAAACGGATATTCAGCTCTCTCAGTACCATTTAAGAAATAATCTATTTTCTTCTACTTCATTTTTTAAATTATCCTTTAAGGAACTGACTTTACCAAAATAAAGACACAAACGCATACACACATCTGTTTCTGGATTCTGTTGTGTTCCATTAAGCTATTTATTAATTCTCACATTAACACCACAGTGCTTTCCTCACTATAATTTTACAGTTTGTTTTTGCATTTGAGAGGGCAAATGTTCCTGCATTATCCGCTTCCAATTTTGGGGGGGGCTATTACTCATTAAAGTCCCTGAAACTACACGGAGATCGACGGCACTTTGACCAATGCACTGACTAATTTAGGGAGAGCTGTTGTCTTTACATGACTAAATCTTTCCCATTGACTAATCCAACTCTCAACTTTACCATCTGTTTAATAAACAAAAACACTGGAGCAGATGAGCCAAGGTTCTTTGCATTTTCTCATCCATCATTTTAAGATCATAAAATCTGAATTATTCAAAGGAAAATCAAAACCTCACGGCTGGGTCGGTACTGCTTTTAGACTACAAAATACTGACGCATTTCGTAAGACCAGTGGGAATCAGCCGGACTGTGTAACGTGCAAGAACCTTACACAGGAATCATGATCATGAACTTCAACCATATTTCGTACCTTTGATGCGTCTTGAGCTTCCCGCGCGCTGTACTGTAACACCTCACACTTCCCACTGAAAGGAAAACAAGACGAAATTCAATGTAAACTTTTCTAGGCTGAAGTTAATGTACAAATGAACACGAACCACTGACGCCTCCTGCCACAAATACTAAAACGCCACGTTCTTTGACCCGGGCGTTGCGGGCACGTGGGCGCTGGTTGAGGACGTGTTACAAGAGGCAGAGTGTGCAGACGTGGCTGTGGCCCAACAGTGACAACAGCAGGTCTGTTCCCGGCTTCCCTTCTCCCTGACTACACTGGTCCCTAGCCCAGGGGTGTGACCACAGCCGCCACCGTCTACAGGGGACAAGGTGCGTGGGCCCCTCAGCTGCTCCACATGCATCTCCAGCTGCAGCCCCCGCCCCGGGAAAGGACAAAGCAGCCAGGGCCCGCCCCAGACACAGGCACAGAGAGCAACAACAACGGCAACGTGGGACACAGGTTAACAGAGCCGCTGGGAGTCAGGATCTAGGAGACAAATGAACCCTCAAAATAACCTGTTTCAACCAAACTTGCAACAGGGCAGCAGCAACTGAGTTCCTTTCGCACTTAGTCTGGACGCTGAAAAATCACAACCAGGTCCCAGAAGGACGGAAGCAGTGGCCACTTGCAGCACTCGCCCATTCCCTCCCGCGTGCACGCTGGCCGTTCAGAGACGGGTCGTCCAGCCAGGGGACGACTGAAACCAGCAGGCTGCCAAGTCCACACCCTGCCAAAGGGAGGCGCTGCCTCCGCCATCACCTCGGGACCAGGGGCGCCTGTGCAGCCCCCACCCTGGCCAGAGAGGCCACCAGGCAGGCCAGACCAGCAGACCTGCTAGAATGCCCGTCACGGCAGAAATGGCGGAACCCCCGTCGGCAAAGGGGACAGAAGAATGTCAAGAAGGGACTAATTTTTCCCTTTTATCACCTGCACGGCACCAACAAGGGGCACCTCGCATTCAGGTCTCTTTACCCACATGTAAGCGTACGGAACAAATAAATACTCCAGGGAGTTACACGCTTTTTATTCTCAGACTGAAATCCACATACGACCCCTACGGTACCAAACTTCCCCAACTCTGCTGCCCACCTTCAACAGACCCCTGGCTTAATTAAATGAGTTAGTACAAAGTACTTATATTGTATTAAGTACTGTTATTACTGATATAATTAATTCCAAAGTGTGGGGCAAATGAAGTTGTTAAGCCCTGTAATCGCTGTACAACACACGGGTTCTCCAAAAGCCTACAGCACGTGACTCAAGGGGTCATCCCATCGGACAGTATCTTCCTAGTGCAGCCAGGTCACGGCACCTCTCCTACCACTGAGATCAACGCGAGGGGTCAGGAACCGCAGGTGCAATGACCGGGAACTCCAGAGCTGGGAAAATAACTCCCTGCACTTGCCACGCAGGTTGGGAAGTAAAGGTCACTCTGATTGCAGGATTTCTGTACCCCCCTCACCTGTCTGGAGCTGCCTATTGCCACTCTGCAGAGAGAGGTGCAGCATGACAAAGGGGACTCGCCTTCCTCGGCAGCCACACAGGTGAACGCTAAACCCGAGCACGCAGGAGACAGGGCTCCCGACCTCCCTGGCGATCGAGGAGTGAATGGGGCTGGCCCGGAAACAGCAGGACATTTCCTCACACAGGAGTATGACGGTCACAGACTACTGGACATTCCGGACACACCTGTCACAAGCATGCGCCTGAGAGATCTGGAAATCATGTGACAGGTACTTCCAACACACAGAACTGAGCAGACATGAACTGAGCCCCGCAGGTGATGCAGACGGAGCGAGACCTCGGCCTGCTGAGAGCAACCTGGAGAGCAGTTTCACAGCCCAGCACTCCCGCCGCCTCTGCGCCCAGTTCAACGGCGCCTACGGTGGGCGAAGCACCATGCCAATGCCTCGGCAACAGAAAAATAAAACCCTCCTGCCTGGGCACGCCGGCCTCTCGTTCCCCCTAACTTGTGAGGGGAGGGCAAAGGCACGAAGGCCGTAGGGCAGGGTGAGCCGTCTGGGGGACGAGCCTGCTCCTACGGATCACAGGGCCAAGGATAGCCACCAGCCGTGCTCGTCATTCCTGAGCCCACGAGGCTGCGTCAACACTCCCAGGGCCTGCCTGCTCCTCACCTGCCTTAGAACAACCCGAAACAACAGACATTTACAAAGCTCGCCAAGGGCCAGGCTGGTCACGCAGGGCCCCTTCCTGTCTCTGAGGTCTCAGATGAGAAGTTTCTTTCTCAGACAGGCCTGCCCTCCTGTCTCGGGCACGACTGCATCTCAGCTGACACGGGCACCGACAGCCGTCCACGCTGACTCAGGATGTGCTGAACAAAGGAACGGCCGAACGTGTGTTAAACTGAGCAACAGCTCACGCTTACTTATGACGCTTTCATAATCAAAGTAACGAGGATAAAAACATGTACTCTTAGGATCTGGGTCACAAATACTAACGAAACCAGAAAATGCACATTCCTATGACAGCTCGTTCTGGCTCTTAAAATCCCACGATACCAATATTTCGGGAGAGGCTGCAATGTTCTTCGTGTGTTCACAAACAACATACACGAAAACAGCGAAGCATCCCCGCCTCTCACCAGGCGCCAGAGAGAAGAGCGAGCACAGGAGAGATCGCTCAGGCAAAGACGAGAGATGTGCAGAGCTTCTCCAGGGACAGCCTTCACCTTGCCAAGTAAATCTGCTCTGTTTCAAACACTGGTATTAAAGTTAAATATTTCTCTTATTCAATTTCGATTTCATTATTTACTTATGTTCCAACAATGTTATCGTCTGAGGTTGTTCGTTATAAATGAATAGTATTGAACTAAATGATGGTTTAAATAAACAAGCCCGGGAAACCTAAAATCGTTTCTTTTAGAAAATACCTTCTGAATTCTAAAACACAAATGACTTATAAACTTTAGATGATAATTTATTTGTTATAGGTTTCTTGAAATTTTGTGTGAAGCAGTTTTAGTCAAATCTTACAGTGAATTTCTGAGAGAAAACCTTAAGATCTGAGCCTATCGCAAAGCTGTACTGAGATCTTGGGCTACAACTTAAAACACATAAAGCACGCTGCACGGAGAACTTCCGGTCCTTGTTCTTCCAAACGTGACAAAGGACCCTCCGTTCAAGCGGCTCCCATAAATCGGTATGGCTTGAGCTGCCAGAGAGGAACAGAGACTCTATCTTCAAAGACAAGGGTTGAAATCACAGCAACCCCAAGTAGTGAGAAAAAAATGTTTGAGGCCTGATGAATCTATGGGGCTGCGCGGTGGAAGCAAATCACCTGCACGAAGCTGCAACCAGGCATTATTTTCCTGATGTTGCAGCTAAAAATTCTATTTGAGAATTTACGAGAAAGCTCTTCCTCGATGATGCTTCTGAAGCAAGATGTCCAAGAGGAATTTTTGGAACTGAACTTCTAAGGTCAGCTACGTTTGTTTATGCCGTTTATTCACACAGCTCTATGTATTCCCCGTGGCAAAGATTTGTAAAACTGCTTTTTTCTTCACTACCGGTCTTGGAAATAGAGCAGTACAATAGGTCGAAAGGAACCTGGAGTTGACCCTGTGTTTTCTACCACCTAAGAAAGAAAAGCTTATCACAAGCAGGCAGAGATTATATGACCATCAACACTTACGGTTTAAAAAAAAAAAAGAAAAAGAAATGAAAAAAAACCTTTTCAATTGAAAAAGAAAAATTTTCTTCCAAAATTACTATACCTTACGTGGCTTTTATTCACAACTTTATAGTTGCTTTGAAATTTTAAACAAGAGCATGAGATTTTTAGGTATCAAAAAAGGCTTAAGTTTTTAAAAAGTATGAGAAATACTACTAAAAACCTTCAATAAAAGCATTATTCAAAGAATCTGCGGTTAATTGGACTGGAGTGACAGTGGCAAATGACATTTCTTACACACGAACGCAACGAATACACCCAGGGGCCAGAGTGACGAGCTGCAGAGTGGGTGAAAACCCTCTCCTTGTGCTTCCACAGTGAAAGAAACAGGGAGGGAGGGACCACGGCCTGGCGGCGTTTACTGCACCAACCAACTCCTCTCACTGACGCCAGTTACGAGCGGCCACACAGACCGTTTACCCTTCACAAACCTTCTCCGTGAATGCACCGAGCACATCCAAGCCACCTTGGCAGGTAAACACGAATCTTACTTGTCACCTGAAGTAAAAGTACTCCAAAACTTTAAAAACCTATACAAAAAAATCTGTACAAAACTTTAAAAATCTATACAAAACAGAAGAAGTACCGACAAAATAAGCAAGCCAAAAAACCCCACAAAAATCAAGCTGAAAGGTCTCCCGTGGTTCTCGTTTATAAACGTGAGATGACAACACCCCGGACAACATCCACCGCACTGAGTAAGAGAAAACTCCCCGGGCTGCTGGGACGAAGCAACTATTGGCAAAGAAGCTTCAGTCCAACAAGCCAGCGTGGCTCACCTCATCTCAGGGAGGAAGATTTTCTTATAGGCGTTCTCGATGTCCTGAAGATAGGCAGAGGTGACCTTCATTTCGTGCGGCTAAACAAAAGCAGAAAAATCAAACTGGGAAACACTGAGACTTCGTTTTCTTTTACGTGTGCACGTGCAAGAGGCACCGACACTCAGTGAGCACCGCTTCCTCCCATGACTCGTGCTGGGCCTTGCAGGGACTCTGGGGAGACAGGAAAGGCCTCAGCATCAGCTGGGCTCATTCTCGTTCTACCACAGTGAACGCCTGAGTCTGCCCAGGTGTGCCACAGCGCGACCGTCCCCCGTGGGCTCTAAGACGCACACTACAACAGGGCGAGGAGGCAGCCCCTGCTACAGACGGCCCGTCCGCCCGTCCCTTCGTGCCCAAGTGCAGGCACTGAGACCACAGCGAAGGAGGCCGGCCTCTGCCACCTGCCTTCAGCTCCCTCCTGCCACCTCGCCCTCTCCGCCCTGTGTGTCTCCCTGCGTCCCCACCTTCCTCTCCTCCTCCTCCACTCTCCCATCCCCCACTTTCTCCGCCCTCACCTCCGTCATATGAAGTGTGCTAAGCCAATTTCGGAAATTTAAAAATCCAACTGAGCGGCAGGTTAAGTATCTAAAACTCCCTGCAGTTCAACACCAAAGGCTGCTGTATCATCCTCTCAGCCCGCTTTATTTTCTTCATGGCATTCACCTCTACTGATGCGTCCCTTATTTATTTCCTTATTTACTATGGGTCCCCCATTAGAACAGGAGCTCTGGAGCGAGGACCTCGACCACCCTGTTCGGTGACGGCCCACAGCACCGCCAGAGCGCGCCGCGCAGTCAGGGCCAGTAAACATTTGCGGGGGGCGGGGGGGAAGGAACAGTCAGGCCTACCGTTCTAACTCACAAAACAATGAAAATATTCCAAAACTGCATTGCGGCGACTTGAAAAAACCTGGTAAATTTACTAAAAATCATTGAGTTGTACCCTTAAAATGGGTGAATTTCATGGAGTATAAATTATACCTCACTAAAGCTATTCAAGCAAAAAAAAAAAAGAACCAATCTTTCACAGAGCATCCACTGAGTGCCCGTAATGCCGGCACTGAGACGGGCACAGGACGTGCCACCCGGGCACCTCTGCGTCTTCACCACGGCCAAAGAGGGGATATTGTCCCTCAGGAACATGCTGAAATGGGGAGTTTTATTTTTGATAAGGACCTGGCACCAGGGCAGACAGTCTTTGCCAATCTCTGTATCCTCCCGGTGCCTGGAGCAGGTGCCCCGCCTGGCGAGGTGCTCAGCGTTAGCGGAGGGAACGAAATCGGCAAAAGTAATAAATGAGCAACGTGATCTGAAATCTGTACATTAGCTGCGTTCCAAGGCAAATAAGACTAAATGTAGGCTGATTTTAGAAGGAGCTCTAGAATGTGTATTAGAAACACAACCATCTCAGAAACCTGACTTGTGAATACTAGATAAAATATTTAGTTACTGATAACTTTGCCTGTTTTCTTAGAGTTTAAATGGTTTTTGGATGTTCCCACCAGTGATTACCAAAGGATACAACAGAATCACAGACTATAGTGAAAAATCAAAATAAGAACACATACTTATTATTGCTATAATGAATCTTTTATAAAATGTGGGCATTTCAGCTGGTGACAATATGCATCTAAGATTTACTTGGAAAAACAGAAAAGTTCACGGCTCTACTTTGGACCTCAGAATTGTTTCCTAAATATTGTTATTCAAGACAACAAAATAATTCTGAACATACGCCTTCATTTTCCTCAATGTCAGTGTAATAAGCAAAGGTGTCCAAAATTATTTCATTGAGAAACCATTAGATACTTTAACTTGCAGTTCCCTCCTCCTGCCACTGGATGGAACGTTTCTGAAAGTCTACATTACAGGACATACTAAAGAGCAAGCTCTCGATATATAAAAGGTACAGAGTAGCAAAACACAGGACAGACAGACGTCTCAGACGTCTCACCCTGTTCACTGAAAGAGAGAGAGAGGAGGACAGTTGGTCTCTTGCAAACTTTCAGCAGCAGCAAAGGGTAAATGGAGCTTTTTTTTGCCCTGACAAGAACCTCCCATTCAGAAAGGTGTTTAGGGAACACGGACGAGCACTCCAGCCTGAGCGCGGGCACTGAATGATGAACAGACGGGCACCCTGCATTTCATCGCAGTGTCAAAGAGGAGATCATATTTTCTGCCAGCAAAAAACACTGCAGCACTGAACAAGGACGAGCCACAGGGCAAACAGGGTCTTTGTGCATCTCTGTATCGTCCATCACACCTATGGGCCACGGGGTGACTTCAGGAGGCGGAGTTCTAGGCCACCTAATTAAGACTCACCCAAAACTAAAAGAATAAGTGGGTGTATGTGGAGATCACTGTTCTACTATTCCAGAACTGCTAAGTACGAAAAAGGGAAAAAGGCACGATTTGAGTCAAACAGATGGAATATTAGAAATCATTTTCAACTTGAAGGAAAATGATAGGACACGAAAACCCCATTAGAGAACAAGAAGGCAGAGGAAGGTCAGGGGGCCTTCCCCACCCTCACAAGAACAGCTGAGGTGACTCCGGGACAGCAGTGGGGCTGGGGGGCACTGGCGGGCAGCAGCTCCTCACAGGGGCAGCGCCAGGCCCAGCCTTGGGCCACCCCCTGCAGACGTCCCCTCTCTGTGGGACCCACTGCGCATCACCCTCCCGGTGAGAACCATCAGGAATGCGTGTCCCGCTGTAGACAGGACTTCCGAGAGCTGCCCCACATTATTACAAAAATAACAGGACAGATAAAAAGATGCTTGGCCTTCAAGTTAAATCTGAATTACGTTTCCTTTCTTCTGAATCCGACTCTGGATCTCTGGAACAGGCACATCGATGTAGATCACCACGTGGGGAGGCAGGTATTCGCAGATGGTGACCTTCTTCACCTCGTTATAGTGGTCCACACCTGGCACACACAACAGAGAGGCACAGCCTGTCACCCAGCAGTCCCCATACAGGTTTCTAAAAGGTACATGAAATCCTCAGAGCCACGTATCCATCTGCAAATCACACAATGGTCACAGCTCTGACTGCTGAGCACACGCGTGGCATGTGACCGTGTTCCCAGAGCTGGGGGCATTTGCACACAGCTTCTGTGCGGTCTGGTCTCGGCCCTCGCCACCACCCCTCGGGCTTTCCCAAGACAAGTGTGCCCACTGGCAGTGCTGAGCCCCGAACCGTCTTCTCGGGACTTCAGTGCAGATGTTCAACTGCCTGCGGCCTCGATCAGGGGCACCTCACACTCAAGACACCCAAGCGTGAAGCCCCTCACAGTCTGGTGCCCTGTGCATCCCTCCTCCCGGGCGGCCACTACCCAGGGCAGGCCCACTGCTACTCTCCCCTGTGCCCCACAAGGCCGCCCACCCAGTGCTCCTCCTCGGCGGCAAAGCCCTCCGCCCAGGGAAGCCCCCTGTTGGCCCAGCGTCCCGCCCCAACTTCCTCCCAACTGGGCGCCTGCCCCTTGGATCTCCGCCACCAAACACGCCCTTCAGATGAAAGCCTGTGATTATTGTTAACTCAAATCCGGCCACACCCCTGCCATGCTTTAAATCCTCCCATGCTTCCTCAGTACTTTCAGGACAAAATCCACGTGTCCTAACCGAGGTGCGAGCCCCTCTTGGTGCAGCCCCTACCTACCCCTCCAGTACTGCTCTCCGCACCTGGCCCTCCCTGTGTGACGCTGACAGCCTGCTGCCACCGCAAGCCCCCACCATCCCCGCACCTCCCTTGCCCAAACGCCACTCATCATGAAAGCTGTCCCTGACAGCAATCCCATCTCCCAGCCAATTAGACATTCCTCCTGTGTGCTTCCGTAACACGCAGGAGTGAGACTGAGGCGCTCTAAGCACACTGTATTGCAATTAGCCACCTAGGTTGGCTTGACAGCCTCCCCCCGACACCCAGGACCTTGCGAGCCGTGTCTTGCATGTCTACATATCCCTAGCACCTAAGGCACGGCCTGGCACACAGCTGGCACTCCTGAAATGCGTGCTGACCTCAACTGCTGCTCGGCCACGTCCAGGGAGCGTGTGCCCCTTGGTCAGAAGCAAGGCTCTGACGGCTTTCTGGCTACAAGCACACGGTGGACCATCCCTAAACACCAGCACACGTAAGCAAACCAAGAAAGAGCAAATGCCTCACGCTCAGGATCATCACCTGAACCCTCGGCTTGCTTTAGTTTTTCCGTTCGTTAACTGTCAGCGCCTACTCCGACCTCCCAGACTACAGCTGACCAGGGCTCCAGCCACCAGCACATAGATAAAAACGTAGCCAGTCAGACTGACCACAGACCTGTTCGAAACACTGCCCCAACACGCCCTGGTTACAGACACTCCAACCCCCGTGCGTGACTCCTCGAGGTCAGCCTGCTTCTAGCCAGAAGGCTTCTATTCCTTGCCATTTGCCACTGGTCAGACATTAAATCCCCCAACACAATGCCGCCGTCCCTAACACCTGAGAACAGCAACAAGTCAGCGAAAAGAAAGGACTCTGATACCAATGACGCTGCAATCGTGCAGGGACAGGCACAGGAAAAATAAGACATCCCGATTCCCTACAAAGGCACACACTGGAAACTGGAGCATTCAGCACAACTACGTCTGCAGGTCAAGGGAAAGCAGCTCAGGCACTGACGGGGCGACCCGAGCGCCGGGGCGCTCTCGGGGGAAGCCGTGAGCTGCGCGTGTGCGAGCGTCCAGGGCTGCGCTCTGCACAGGGAGATGGGACAGGACGGCAGACACCTGTTCAGGAGAAAACGAAGGTGGAAGGGGCCTCAGTCAGACCCCTTTTTCCTGTGGAAATTGCCGGTAATGGCGTTTATCCACCTCTGTAGCAGACACTCATAAACACGCTGACGCGAGGCGAGTCTGCCACCTCTGCGAGGGCGCACGGCACACGCGGGCTGACTCACACTGCTTCCGGATGAATCCCTGGTTGTACATGGCCTCCAGGAAAACGAAGTCACTGAAGATGGAGCGCTCCAGCACCACCCCTTGTCCTGCTCAAAAACAGGTGAACGGAAAGTAAGAATCAGGTGACAAAGCGCTGTAAACTGGCAATTTCATTTTAAAAGAGAAAAAGGTCATTTACGATTCCATTTCCATACTAAATACGTTCAAAAGAACAAAATATCTATAACTGGAAAATCATTTTCAAAACTATAGTACCTTTTCAGTTTTTAGCAATATAAGATGTTTCACTCAGTCAGCTGTAAGAAAAGCATCCAGTTAATACAAAAAGTGCTTCTCTTTTAAACAACCTGTCCCACCCGCGGTGCCCACCCCAGTTCTGCTCCAGCCTGATCACCCCGGTCAGGTCTACTGAGGCCGGATGTTTCCCCAACCTCACCTCCTCCCACGCCCAGCCTCGCTGGCGTGTGACTGTCACCGCAGCCCCTTGTGGACGGGACACTCGCACAGCTCAGCACTAGTCCCCAGGTTCCCGGCCCATCTCCCTGCAGTCAGCCCCGCTGTGTCTGGGCAGAGGCCTCTACAAACCTTCCCACTAGGAGAACGGGCCCCAGGCCACCCCACGGCCCTCATCAGAGCCCCCTGCCCTCACTCGGGACCTGACGTACTTGTTTCCATGATGAGTCTTTGTCCCCCACTAAAATATAAGCTTCCCTCCCTGCGGCATCCCTAGCTCCAAGCATGGGCTTGGCACACAGCAGGCATGCACTAAATATTTAATAAACAAGTTAATATAGTACAAAAGGAAACAAGTTTTTATTTAGTAAGTAAAAGCTTTGTTTTTGATTTTAAGAAACAGCCAGGAGACTGGGCTGAAGCGTGCTTCAGGAGAAGCCCGACGTCAGCATGACGTCCAAGCTCTGCGTCTGTTCCTGTGCGTTGGGTGCTGGTGCAGAACCTCAGAGGGTAGACGGCACGCCACATTTTTTTCTTACAAGTAACACTAACCAAAATCAGGGCTTACCGTCATATAAGAAAAAAGAATCACAATCATAAAATGAGGAAAATGAGGAAAAAGCAAGCCAATAACCAGACCCTCTGAAACGGTGTGGTAAGAGCACTACCGTGCGTTTCACAGATATGTTCTGTGCATGTGGGAACCTGAAGGAGCACAGGGCAGTGGCTCCCCAACAGCTTTGGGAACCAACCCCATCGGTTGTCCAGGGCGTGGTTAAAAATACATTTCTCACAGCTCAGACCCAACGAGCCAACTCTCTAGTGCAGCTGAGCTTCTGCACATAAATAAGCCCGTCTGGAGCACTGACCACCTACCAGTGTGGCCACCCTGCCGTACAGAGCAGACACAAAGCCTGTGAGAATCACCCAGTCGCCCTCTCTCCTGCACACGTACGTGCCATGTGCTTCTACCTGCGAATTCAGAACCGCCATGGCACGGTAGCCTTGACCAACAACAGGCAGTGTACCTGCTGTCCAACTCTCAGGGCGTTCTGGGACTGGCCCAAGTCTAACACAGGCTGCTGGTTCCCAGCGCGGTGGATCGGCCCCGGCTGGACCTGCGCTCGTTCTGCACATCGCAGCCTGCGTTCCTGTCCCATCTGCCCACCCTCCCTTCACCTCCAACCTCGTTTCCTGATCCCTGCTGCCCATCTCCCAGGCTCGGGACCTTGCCCATTTCTTCCGTGCTCTGGAGAACTGCCAGGGACACGGCCCCCTTACTGCACAAGCCAAGGACACGCTGTGTGTTCCACCTCCCCCTGCTTACGCCATCTTCTCAAGGTTTAACTTCCACCGTGTGGCTTTATGAATTCCAGCCATCTCTGGGCCCTCCAAGACAGCCCTATTTTGTTGTCATCCACATTTCCATATGACACACACTCCATCTTCACAAGCGTGATTCCACTTCCTCCTGGCCACTTACATGTTCTCTCTTTCCTCCATCATTTCGACACGTTTCATCTATGTGCTTAAAGCACTGGCATGAAAATTCCATACAATCCACAAATCTCACTCGAGTACA